CCCCATTAGTACTGCTTTTGCTGCATTCTATAAATTTTGATATGTTGCATTTTTGTGTTTATATCTCAAAACATTTTCTAATTTCCCTTTTGATTTTTTTGACCACTTTGTCGCTCAAGAATATGGTGTTTAAGTTTCATTTTTTTTTTAAATTTTCTAGTTTTGCATCTGCTATTTATTTCTAGTGTTATTCCATTCTCATTAGAAAAAATATGTGGCATGATTTCACTTTCTTAAATTTGTTGAGACTTGTTTTGTGGCTGGGCACGGTGGCACATGCCTGTAATCTTAGCACTTTAGGAGGCTGAGGTGGGAAGATTGCTTGAGGCCAAGAGTTTGAGACCAGTCTGGGTAACAGTGAGACTCCTTCTCCACAAAAAATAAAAGTATTGGCTTAGTGGGGTGGTGTGTATCTGTAGTCTCAGCTACTCAGGAGGCTGAGGTGGGTTGATTGCTCAAGTCCAGGAGTTCGAGGCTGCCATAAGTCACGGTGGCGTCATTGCACTCCAGCCTGGACAACACAATGAGACCCTGTCTCAAAAAACAAAACAACAAAAACTTGTTTTTGTGGCAAAAATGTGATCCACCCTGGAGGCTGCTTTGTGTGTACTTACGAAGACTGTATATTCTGTGTATACTGACTTCATATGGGAGAAGACCCTCACTATTCAGCATGGACAGATATTTTGGGGGCCTCTCAAATATTGTGCTAGTCCAAACCACCATCTTTGTTTTGACTGGTCCCCAGGCATCTAGAGAATGTTGGTCCCATCAGTGTTCTGAGACAAGTGAGATGGAAACCAATTCCTTGAGAACTCCCAGAAAAATTGGAACAATGGACCTCTGGTTCAACTCTTTCCCTTCCCAAGGAGAATGTAGGAGCTGGCAATTGTTTTGCCCACTGTGTCTGCACTAAATTGGGGGAAGGGCTATGGTGAGCGCTTATGTGGTATTTCAAAATGCCCTCTTTGTTCTCAGTGACCCTAGGCATCAGGAATACACTGGGTTCTATCAATGCTCCTGACAGGTGCGATGGAAGCCAGTCTCTCAGGCAGTCTGTGGAAAAACTAGAGTGTTGGATGTAATGTCCAACTCTTTCCCTCTCCAGGGAGAGGCTGAAACTGGGGCTTTCCTCTCATTTATGGGACACTGTGCTGGGGTAGGAATTAGGGCAAGAAGATGTCACAAACTTTCCTGTCATCTTTGATGTGGCTGGTTTCTTGATTATTCAGGGTGCTGAAGACTCTCAATTAGTTACTGGGTTTTTCACAGGTGAATTGATTTATTTATTGCTATTGAATTGGTGTGTCTACTGGGGAAAAGAGGGTTAAGGGATTCCTGTTCTGCTATCTTGCTGATGTCACTTCTTTCAGAGACGGAATTCTTACTGTTCTCCTCATGGGCTTCTTTGTTTGCTCTTCACCAGAACTGACCTCCTTTGGGCATCTAGCTGAATGCAATGTTCACTGTGGGCATGGTGGTGCCTGAGTGCCAGCAGGCAGCCCTGCAATGAGAGCCCAATTATATGATTTAAACCTTTCTTGACATTTCTTTTAGCTGTGCCTCTTAAGCAGTAGAAGGCTGGATATGTAAATCATTCAGATCATTTCTATACCTTAATAGAAAAATTTAGCTTTTTAAACTTATATATACATGCATTTATTGCGACAGCTGGTATTTTTAACTTATCTTACTTGTCATGGTGACATTTGACATTGTAGAACACTCCCTTCCTGAAATACTTTCTTTATTGCTTTTTAGAAATCCCAATCTTTTTTTTCATTCTCCTCCAGTATTATCAGTTGTTCCTTCTCAGTCTTTTTTGCTATTTTTGTCCCCTCATTTATCTAATCTTTAAACATTGTCATGCCTCAGAAATTTATCCTTGGAACTCTCATTACTTTACTGCTGCCACCCTGATCCAAGCTACAGTCATCTCTTGTCTGGTTGATTGAAAGAAACCTAACTGATCTTCCTTCTTTCACCACTGTTCCTCTTCTGTCTGTTCTCCATGCAGCAGGAGAAGTAGTCTTTAAAACATAACTCAGATAATTTCATTTCTGTGCTCACAACTATATAATGTCTTACCATCTAATGCAAATGAAAACCAAATTCTTTACTATAATATGCAAATCAATTTAGCTTCCTGCCATGTCTTTGATATTTGGCATCAGCTGCCACCTCCCTGCTTATTCCCTCTTTCCAGCCTCGCTGCACTTACTGTAGCTCTAACATACCAATTGTCTTCCTGCCTCAAGGTCTTTGCAGCTGCTCATTTCTCTGCCTTGTGTACTAGTACTCCAGGTAACCACATGGCTCATTTCTACACTTTATTCCACCAAATAGACATGCAAATATTTACTGCAGATTCTTTTTGAAATAGAGAAAATTAAAATACCAGGTGTTTCTCAGAGAATAGCTATAGAAACTGTGATAAATCTATAAAATGGAATATTCAGAAGAAAACATGTTAACATCAATAGGTTATCCAGACATATAATTTGGTACCAAACACATTGTAAACTGCTGTGTGCTTGAAAGTTATAGTCAGATAGAAATTTAAACTATATATATAGAGAGAGTATGTATTCATCCATATGTTCCACAATATTTTTAAATTAATAATAAAAATAGGCTCCAACTTCTTTCTACATCTTTGTCCATTTACTCTTCTTTTATTTTCATTTAGTGAGGGTCTCTATTCAACTCCTAAGCTTATTTAGCCTCTTGATTTCCTTCTGTTTTATCTTTTCTAGGAACAGACAACAACGATCATATTCTCCTCAAACCTTTATCTAACCATCCTTTGTTGTAAGAAATGTCTCCTTATTTCTGAGGTCATTTTGTACTTTTTGAGGTGCTACTTGATGTATATAAAAACACACACATATACACATTTGTCTTTCCCACTAAACTGCAATGTCTTGTGAGTAGAGAAAATGCCTTACTAATTTTTTAATTTCTTAGGATCTAGCACAAGATATAGCTTATAGTAGACTTCAATAAATTACTAAGGACTTATTCTGACATAAATTGGAGAAATCACATTAAAACTTGAATATGCAGTTTGACAAAAATATTTTAATACGGTAATCTCTAGTATATGGAATTTGGAGGAAAAAAGTTTACTTTTCTTAAAAAAAAAATCACCATAAGCCTGACAGTTTTTGCTCTTGACAATCTGTGGGCGGTTCTTCAGGAGAGAATTGGGATGAAGGCTCTGGGACTCCACAGATGAGCTAGTTGGCCTGATGGTTTCAGACCATTAGGAGGCTCTCCAGGCTTTACTCTAAATGAGGAACTTTTCCCTCAATTTCTGAGATAGGTGACTCAGTGAAAAATTGAGAGCATCAGTTAGCAAAGCATCTGAACTAGGCATATATGAAATGGACAGGGAGAGTCTCCATTTACTCATCTACAAAGATGTTCTGTGGCTGTGATGGGTGTCACAGAGATGGTCTCCCAGGAAGATTGATCATAGAAATCAGCAAGGGACATGAAAAAGCTGGAAGCTTTGCAGCTTTAATTTTTATGACTCAAACTTCTAAAATATGAGTTTCTATTCTGACTTTGAAATTATTTCAATAATTTCCACCTTCTTTTATACCTCTTCTGAAACTAGAGAAGCAAGAAAAAGGAAATGAGAAGAAATGAGAAAAAGATAATGAAAATATTCAAAAAGAGGATAAAAGAGAGAAAAAGAAATAAGAGATAAGGGGAAGAGAAAGATGATACATTTAATTAATTTCAAAATGTGGCCTATGCCTCATATAGTTTCCGTGTCGCAAGGTTAAAAAGTTCTAGAGATCTGATGCACGACAGTGTGAAGATAATTACCACTACCGAATTGCACACTTTAAAATAGTTAAGATGGTCAGTTTAGTGTTATGTGTTTTTTACCACAATAAAAAATGTGGTCTCTACCTCTTGTTCACAGAGCAGGACTGGCAGATTGGGCTGCAAAGTAAATGGAGAAAGTGTTGGATAGGAGAAGAGAGATGGAAATAGGCTAGGGTAGCCATCATACACATGTGCTGTTTCTCTATCAACCAAAGACTTGTTGGAGACATTTTATATGTTCATGATGACCACATGTCCTATGTTAACAGAATTCTCTTAATTTAATAGTATTGTATTTACTCCATTAAAGATAATTAAATTAATAATGCATTCAATGAGATATTCTTTCTTTGTGAGAGCTTTCTTACGAATGAGATCGTAATCACTTTTCAAATCACATGTCCTGATTTTTTGGCTAAGGAAATTGGGCCACTGACCCTGATAATTTTTTCAGGCTATACTTGATCCAGATGAGGCTCCCATTTGTCTCGGAGGTATCTTTTCCCTTTCTTCACTCCCCTCCCAACATGTCCGATTACTGGGCACTTTAACTGGAGGCAATGCTGAGAGCTTAAAAAACCCAGACACTTCCGTGTCCCCAGTCAGCAATGCCGCACTCAGCAGGTACTGACACCAGCAACTATGCCAGCACACTGCGGGAAACTGGAGGAAATCTCATTGCTCTCTGATCTCATTGTATTCCACCTCATTTAAGTAAAAGCATATCTGTTACTTTCTTCTGAGCTATTTGGAGGCCAGAGAAGAGACTTTCTTAAGACAATTAGTTTTCTTTTTAGAAGAAAAGATATCTGCAGGGCAAGCTATCTCCATGACCCATAGTTTTCTGCTTTTAATCCTGGAGTTTCTGGCTACTTGACCCCAGATTTATATCTGACCCCAAAATGGGACACCTCACTTGAGCTCTCTCAACATAGCTTGACTGATAGCCAGAGAAACTCTTTGGTTAAGGACTAGGGATTGGGGCCATTTTCAATCTACCATTTTTTCTAGAATTTTACTCTTTCTAAGCCAAATGATTGTTCCCCCTTTTTTATGGCCTTTCTTTTATTTCTTACTTACTTACTTTTTTTTTTTTTTTTTTTTTTTTAAAGCTTATAGAACTAAAATCCTAAAGGGCCATTTCATGTGTGAGGAGTAAGGTCAGAATCAATGATGCTGGATGGAAAATAAAATAACTTGATCTGGTAATGTTTAAACATTTCATTAAAACATCTGTATAGAAGCTTAAATTTCTATGGAGTGTTATCTATCAATATTTTCTCTTATGCTTTTTGACTTTCATGCTTAGAAAATCCATGACCATTCTAAATTTGTTTTACAAGCTTTTAATTTTACTTAAAGTATTAAATGTTATGTCCTTTGAACTTTATTTTGTAACAGGTATTAAGGTAGGCATCCTAACTTATCTGCCAACTTCCAAATGATTGTTAGGATTACACATTTTCCCCAATTTAAACCAAATTTCCATATGCATTTGTATATTTGGACTTTATATTCTACTTCATTAATCCATATATGTGGATTTAAAAAATAATCTTCTATTTCAATTAATACAGCATCACACTTTTTCCTACTAACTGAGGAGGAAATTCTCATTCTCCGTGTATTTGAAGGTTTCCTGAAGCCTGAGCTAGCCGCAGTATTGCATTTGGCCTCTAGAGGGGGATGTTACACAAATGGAATTTAATGGTCAAAAACAACCAGATCTTTTTGAAGAAGAGCTTTTTGTTTTACACGCTGGGTAAACTAATCCACCTCTCTGTCAGAGTGTCCATGTGGCTGAATTGTTTCCAGAAAAGACCTCCAGAAAATAGATTCCAGTTTCTCCACCGCTCAGACATGAAGCCCACCCTCATCTCGGTGCTTGTGATAATATTTACACTCAGTGAGTAAAGCCTCTCTTTAATCTATTTTTCTATAGTCTTCTGATTTAGAACAACGTTAATGAATATCATCCCCAGTATGTAAGGCTCGTCCTGATTCATAATTGTTATTATAGGAGAAACAAGAGCCCAGAGAGTGACTCAACCCGAGAAGACCCTGTCTGTCTTTGAAGGCGCCCCAGTGCATCTGAAGTGCAACTACTCGTATTTTGGGAGTCCTGAGCTCTTCTGGTATGTCCACTACCCCAAACAACGCCTCCAGTTACTCCTGAGACAAATTTCTAGAGAGAGCGTCAAAGGCTTCACTGCTGGCCTTAACAAAGGCGAGACATCCTTCCATCTGGAGAAACCATTCGCGCAAGAGGAAGACTCAGCCACGTATTACTGTGTTCTAAGTGGCACAGTAGCTGGTTTTGCAAGGAAGCAGAACACCCTTTAGTTACAGGAGATATTTCTTTGTAAACTCTCTGTGTGGCCACAGTGGGGCATTCTTTCTCCAGATATTAACATTAATTTTGTCCCCTAGATATTATATCATCAGCTGTCAGTTAGCTATAGGATTACCTCATAATTTTTTCCAAAAAATTCTCAATTTCTACCCTGCTTAAATTAGTTTTCAAAATAGTAGATGTATTTATTTTGTCTAGTAGTACTGGAAACATACTTTTGAAATAAAAACTATATTGCATGGCATAAAAAGTATCATTTTCTTGGTCCAGAGGTCCTGGCCAGGCTTCCATGGCACAGTCTTACCTCTTCAGCTCCTCTGCTTCCCCACATGATCCCTGCATGTGGTTGTCACCGCATACCTGAGCACAGTTCCTTAAAGTGCTCTGCTCTTTCACGGCTTGTGATTGTTCATCTTTCTGTATCTATTACCTTTCTTCCCATGTGTTTCATAGATTGAGATAGGAGTATCTCAGTTAGAGTCTACCAGGAAAAATGAAACCCAGTAATTTGAACAATGAAGTTTAATATAAAGATTTATTAAATAATAATGAGTAATAACTGCTAATGGGTAAAAAGAATATAGGAACACACATGTAAGCAGAAGTTCCCGTCTCTAGGACTAAGGTAGAATCCTAGGAAAGAAACACATTGGAATAAGCATGACCATTACCCCTCCTGCCAAGGCTATGATTCAGATGTCGTTGGGAGTGGGTAGCTGCAGCCTGCTGGATGGTGGAAAAGTTTGCTGAGGTGCCAGAGAAAAACACTGACAAGCAAAAAAATACCTACTAGGATTCCAACACAACTCATAGGCAGCCTACAAAACAGTGCTGCTGAACTTGCTTGTGGTGGTTGTGAAACTTGCCAAGAAACCACCTGTCAGGCTGCCATGAACCTTACTGGAGCGGGGTGCCACTGTGTGTCCCACAGGCCAACCAAGCAGGTGGGACAAGAAGTGTGGAAAACATACCAGAACGAGGAAGAGAAGTGTCATCCTTCTGCAGGACCTTTCCAGCCCCCTCTGCTGACAAAGCTTAATATCAAATATTTAGAAGTTCCAGATCCAGTTCACAACTAAGGTAATGAGGGTGGATTTGGAGCTGAGAGGTAATACATTGATAACTGTCACACCCTATCCCTCAGGCTACTGATCTTTCATATGCATTCCTTTTTTATTTTATTTTCTTTTTTTGAGATGGTGTCTCATTCTGTCGCCCAGGCTGGAGTGCAATGGTGTGATCTTAGTTCACTGCAATCTCCACCTCCTGGGTTCAAGTGATTCATCTGCCTCAGCCTCCCAAGTAGCTAGGACTACAGGTGTCTGCCACCATGTCCAGCTAATTTTTGTATTTTTAGTAGAGACACGGTTTCACCATGTTGGCCTCGCTGGCCCCAAACTCCTGACCTCAGGTGATCCACCCTCCTCGGCCTCCCAAAGTGCTGGGATTACAGGCATGAGCCACTGCACCTGGCCCATATGCATTCCTACATGCATATTTGAACTTCCAAACAACAATGAATTGACATTATGTTTCTACCTAACAAGCTAAAGCTGTCCTTGAACAAGTGAAGTTTTCATTATTTCTCCCAAATGAGAGGAACCATAGTCCCAACAACCGCTGTATGAATCTCTGACTATATTAGCCACATCTCAAATTCAGAGGAAGTTCCACTGAATATGCTGTTATATACAGACTAAATTATAAAGTTAATCTCCAATAATTTACATATATAAGAATTATAATAAGAAAGAGAGAGAAGAAAATGGCAGCATATACAAAGCAACACCTACATATGATGAGCAAAGAGAAAATATAGAAAGCTACTACATTCCTTGATTCCAGACTTGGTCCTGAGCTTCAATTGATATAGACAGTTTCCTTCTCTTGTTACCTGTTTCTTATTTCTTCTTGTTACCTGTTCCTTCTCTTCTTACCTTATTCTTCTGCCCTCAGCCACATCATCAGTGGATTGGGGTTATTTTCCTGGTGGAATGACAAAAGTCTCCATTCTCAAAGAGTCTGAGTTCTCAACAGTCTTGCCTTTTAATTTGTTGCTATAGGTTTCCCTTAACTTTTACCATCGGGCATGAAAGTGCCAATAGGCACTACTTAAAAAATGCCCTGGGATTCAGATGTAGCTCTCTCTATACCTGTTGTATAGCAACATCTCAATTCCCCTTAGTAATTGGTATCAATAACTCCAGCCAGTAATCTCTTTTCCTACTTGTTTGTTCAGAGGCATACATAGGACAAAATGGCCACAAAGCAGTGCCATCTTTCAGTGCAATTGAACCATTTCGTTTGGTGTCCTGGTAGACATATTCTTCCTTGAGAGAATAAGACCTTCGAATGAACACAGCTCAAAGTCACAAAGATGGAGGCAAAAATTCTGCCAAAGGGCTACTGGTAATAGGAGTGAGAGAATCCATTCTCAGGACCACTTCCTTGATGTCTGATCCATGCATTCTGGCTATAAGGGGGACAACACCATATAATGGTTTTCGATGTAAACCAGATACTGCATCTTGTAAGATAGAACCCTATCTTTTCAGGGCGTCTTCAAACTAGTGCCACAGCTCAATCAATAAGCCATTCCATATTTCAACAGGCCAACCACTTGTGCATTGCAAGATAAGTGATAAGACTATATGATTCCATAAGCATGTACAATTTTGCAGTAAAATTAGTTCCTCCATCAGAATAAATACTGTGAGGATTATTCTGATGGTGAGTTAGGCATTCTGTAAGTTTATGAAGAAGGGGTCAGCAGAGGCATAACATACAAGGAAGACAAATTCATATGCAAGTGTATGTGTCTATTTCAGTGAGGACATATCTCAGCCATCTCTATGATAGAAGAGCAATCAACAGGTGTCTGGCTGGTTCCCTAGGGCATGACATGATTCGAGGAGCTCAGTATTAGTCTCTGCGGTTTACGGATTAGGCACTCAACAGTAGCATTAGCTAAGTTAGCCTTAATAAGGAGAAATCCATGCTTTTGAGCTCAAGCATAACATCCATCCCTGCCAGCAGGGCCACTTTTTTCATGTGACCATTGAGCAAGCACTGGGATGGCTGGGGAGAATGTTGACACATCAATGAAGGGCATCATTGTGTCCATTATAATAGTTTCTACTGCATTTGTTTTCCCTTGGTCAGTATTCACATTGAGCAAAATTATCTTGAGAGTCTTTGCTCATTCTGAGAGGTCCATTAGGATACCTCTTTCCTAAATTCCCTTGTCATCCATCTTTTAAGCCTATTCCTTCTAGGTCTCTTGCCATCTGACTAAACCATCAGCAACTCCCCATGAATCAGTGTAGATCAGCACCTCTGGCCATCTTTCACCAGGTAATTTGGACAACCAAAATGTACCACTAGAAGGAGTATGGAACTCCCTAGGAGGATACAGCATGGATTACAGAAAACGAGACAATAAGAGAAGTTGGTGTCAAAGGAATCTGAGCCACCTACTCACGGAGCTAACTTGCACCTTATGGATCTGCCTCAATGTGGTCTCTTATGTACAATTTCCACTTGATGATCGATTGCTTCTGGGCATGCCCAATATTACAGCTGATTAGATCAGACAACACTTGGTTCTTGGTCATCTATTTTTCCTAAATGAGACATTCAGACTTCACCAAGGTAAACTAGCAAGACAGAAACTGTTTTTTAAAGGAGAATAGTTATTTATAGAAAAGGGAAACTATGTCCCCCAACTACTAGAGGACTATGCTGTGATTCTCCTATTGGTGTTTCCCAGAGTCTTCATAGAGCATTCTTACTTTCCATGGAAACTTTGAATATCATTGTTGGATTTGCTGAATCATAAGAGCAATGTGGTGAAATGGATTGTACTGAAACCTGAAATTGTAGAGCCTCCTGTTGCTCTGGTGTCCACTGAAAACTGGTGGCTTTATAGATGACTCTGTAAATAGGCCAAAGTAGTATACCCCCATGTGGTATTGATTGCCTCCAAATTCAAAATAGCCAATCAAATATGTGCCTCTTTTTCTGTGGTAGGTGGTGTGGGGTGCAGCTACATGTCTTCCACCTTGGAAGAGATGTCTCAATGTTCTCTGGGCTGTTGAACCTCTAGAAACTTCACTGAAGTGCCAAGTCCTGAATTTTTGTGGGGTTTATCATTAAAGGTATTGATCTTCGACTTCCAGCTCAAGAGCCTCTTATATTTTAAGCATGTCATGACTTCTGGAGCTACTCGCCCCCTCCCTAACAACCCTGCAATATGTTCTGGTAACCATCACACTATATTAAAACTTTATCTTATCTCCTCTTCCTATTGAGCACAATGTTCCAGAGAAGAGCCATTATGTTATCTCTGGCTTTTACCTGACCTTCTAACACAGTATGGAGCACACAATATGTACAATGTAAAGGAATGCTAAATAAATTCATTCAGACAAATATAAAAATTAGCAATCCTCTCCTATGAGCATGTGAGTCGATCTCCACTAATGTGATTTCACTAGTTTCTTCAGGGAACCATGTCAAACCGATTAATATAAGCAAACAGTATGTTCATCTGGGCAAACAGATGCCTAATAAGAGTTTGCTTAGTTGGAAAAATAGCTTGCTTATGAAGACAATAGTAGTATTATCAGTAAAACCCACCTCAAGACTTTTGGTACATCCTTCTGCCAATCCTAAACTTATATATCGTGAACTTTGCCCACTCCAAACTGGTTCTCAGCTTTGAAATACCTACCTTAAACTGCTTGAGAACAAACAACACCCTGTGAATATTGCTCCATAACTTACTTATTTGAGAAATTTCTAATGTAAAATATAAAAGTTAAAAAATGGAGAAAATATTTGAGAACTAGAGCTAGACAGTGAGTTCTTAGACATGAACCCAAAAGTTCTTTTATTGAAGGCCAATTTATCAATTTTTTCTTAAAAATTTTTTTTTTCTATAAAAGAAAAAGTTGATAAATTGGTCTTCAATAAAATAAAACCTTTGGCATGGTGGAAGGACATTGTTAATAGAATAAAAGGCAACCTATAGACAGAGAGAAATGTTTATAAATCACACACTAGACAGAGGTCTTATGTCTAGGATAAATAAAGAGCACTCAAATCTCACTGTCAAAAACAAACAAACAATCCAATTAGAAATAGTATAGATAGTTCACCAAAGTAGAAATATGGGTGAAAAATAAGCAAATAAAAAATGTTCAATATCATTCTTCATTAGCAAAATGAAAATGAAAATCATAATGAGATATCACTATAAACATATTAGAACAGCTAAAATACAAAACAGTAATAATACTAAATGTTGGTGAGTATGTAGAGAAATGGAAACTTTTATACATTGCTGGTGGGATTGTAAAGTAGTATAGCCATTCTGGAAAACAATTTGGGAGTTTTTTATAAAACTAAACATGCACTTATCATATGATCACACCATTGTGCATTGAACATCTATCCCAATAACATTCACATAAAGTCTTATACAACATTCGCGGTAGCTTTATTCATAACTGACAAAAACTGGAATCAACCTAAATATTTTTCAATGGGGGAATGGTTAAGTAAACTACAGTAATTCATACCATGGAATAATATGAAACAAAATAAACAAACTATTGATACATGGAACAACCTGTATGGGTCAAT